TTCCAGGATGTTCGAGCGTGAGATACCGAAACAAAACATAAAACTAAGGCCGCGCGAACTATCTCATCATAGGATGTCTCTTTCCAGGTAGGAAGAGACAGCTCCTCAAGTTGCCACGCTGTATATGAGTCCGTGCTCCTGCGAAGCATGAATGATACATTCCGAGGTCTGCCCTAGTTGGGTCTCTCATTTACGCTTCACCTCGCCGAGTTCTGTGACGATGTACTTCTTGCCCGCAAATCCATTCTCATAAAGCTCAATGAGCGCAGCCAGCATGGCGAACCAGTCGGGGTTATCCGTGAATTTGTCTTCAATGTTGTTGAGCCACCCATAGGCCCTGCCGCTAAAGGAGGCATCCGTCATGGCGCCCCAAGGTCCCAGATGGAACATCTAAGGTACTCGGTCAGCTCTCGCAGATCTCATCTCGGTGTAGAAAGTCCTGACAACTTACCTCGTGGAACATTGTCTTCACAATGGAAAACGTCAGCAGCCCATCAACGGGACGGGCCCTCCCCTTGATACGATATTCTTGCAACGCATCGCTCCTGGTGTTTTCGGCAAAGAGCGCATCATTCCAGGCGCCCCAGTTGTTCTGCCGCAGATGGTTGAGAAAGGATGGATGGAACGTCACGGAGGCGACAACCCTCAGCTGGTCTTGACTGGGATTTTCGATGCGCCTGGTGACGGCGATCGGCACGCCTGGTTGCTTCATGATGTCGGTCCACGTACTGGCCTCCTGGGTGAGCATGGTGGGCAGGTCGGACTTGCCCTGCTCTACAACGCCTCTAATGTTGTCTGTCCAGCCGGCATCCTCGTCGTCTGGGTCGACGACAGTTAGGTCTGGCCGACAAGAGATGACCTAAGTGCGAAGAGTTAGTGAACAAGATCCACCTTTTCGTCCTCGGACGTGCTCTTACAAAGTGCTTGTGGTGTTCATCTGTGCCCGCCAAGTCCTGCCATGCCTGAGAATGTTCGTATCTCGCATTCGGTGGGCCATCCTTGCCAATAGGCCCTTCGAGCTCTTTGAAAAGCTTGAACTTTTCTGCAAACGGCGTGTTTTAGCGAATGGAGGCCCATATTGACGAGACACGGATGGGACATGTGGGCGTGTGGCACAGCGTGCTCGTCCGGGGAGGAAGCAATACATACCCCTTGCGATTTCCAACTTGGTCTTGTAGTCTTCCCCTGTGCCAAGAAGGTTTTCCAAGACTTTTTTGAGATTCTTGCCAATGAGCGGGATGTTGGAGTTCCGAAGCGCAGTCTCGCCGTTGCTCGCCCACTTTTTGGCAGTTTCGACGGCGTTGATGATGGCGTCAGCCGTCGCTGGGTCATCGGCGCCTGCTGCGTCCTGGTCTGTCCAACGACCCTGTCAGTATGGGTTATGGAGCGAAACGCGAATGTAGCCATTGCGCAGAATGGACTCAATACGAGAGGGAACGTACAGCAAGATGAGTGAAGCGTCCATTTTATGAAACCAGCCTCGACCAGAGCGGTGGCTTGTAGAGCCAAGAACGTCACCTGTAAGAGACGCATGTTGAGATGTGGAATACCCCCACGATAAAAACGAACTTGGAAGAGTGGCTAATGAAAAGGACTGAAAGCTTGCGGTTTCTGTGCTAAAGTATGATCTTGGGCGACTTTCTCGCTCGTGCTTGGAATCGAGGGCTAGTTGCGCTGCTTTTGTATTCTTTTAACTTTGATGTCTAGTCATCTTCTCAGCATGAGCAGAGACGGCATATTGCCGGCTTGTGAAGGAGATATTCTTAGCATTGCTGTGCCTTGCAACCCCCAAAGTGTAGACATCCTGTATTTCCCTGAAGAGGCTTCATTCTGCAAGTTCACGCGTATCCGCTTTTCGTATAAGCCGTCAGAATCCAGGCTCCAAGGCTCAGTCATGGACCCCAGAATCCTTCAGATGGAACGAGGGGGCCGTCGACTTCGTACTATGACGTCTGTAACACCTCCAGATGATCATGTTGCTGGTCACTTTTTCAAGATGACCGTAATCAGATGACTGGATGAAAATAGTGGCAGATCCTGCATGCACATGAACGTGAGAAACGCGTTACCAGTGGGCGGCACGAAACGTTGGTCCCAAATGATGGTGTTCATCGCTTGCCGCCGCCTGCACAGCCTCGCTAATCTGGTGATGGTGTGCTGCGGTGGGTGATGCCTCCTGTGGGGGCCAGCAGCGGCTTGAATCGGGTGGAGTCAACGGTTGCCTGACTGAACGACCAATGAACAAATCCAAGTACCTGCATCCAGCCGATTTGCCTTGGTGACCCCTTCGTTACCCGGCCTCGGCAGGATTCTGTTCAGCACTCAAAAGCGCCACCCCATGCGGCCCCTATGCCCGCTCGCGGCGTCTCTGGCGCAGTCTGGGGGCCATAGAGGCGAGCAGCACAACCTGTGGGTTGCAACCTGCTGACGGATCAGCACTGATCCAGGCACGACTCAGCCCTAGCGAGGAACAATTCTGACCAGGATTGGGGGCAAGGTTCTAATATCGGATGACTCGTCGGTCGATGCCAACTGGATGTTCTATACTCGGCAAATCCAGTAAGCATTTGCAGTTTCTCGACTTACACACCTCACACCAAGTTCGTAACTACACCCAAAACTTGGCCATTAGCTTCGTGGGGGCTGTATGATCCATCAATCCGACGGTCCATCCAAAAGAAACTAGTGGGCTGTGTACAGAACACCTACGTGCCCACATACCGCCCATTTCTAACGCTGCCTGTATGTGTATTGGGCAAGAAGTGTCTATTCATAGATGATCATGGGTCAAGGCTCTTTCGAGGCATATCAGTCGACGGAAATGACATCACGGCAACTGTTCTCACGAAATCCTCTCGTATCAGCTGGGAGGTATAAGAGCAGTCGCCCCAACAGCCTTAAAGTACCTGCATCACAACGGTTCTTGACTTCAGGAAGCAGCCAAGAAGATATCAAACAGTATTCACCATCTCCTTGAGCTTCTCCAAATTCTCCTTTCATTGCATTCACTTTTCTATCAACCATGAGGGCCACGTACAGGGCCGTTGTTAGTTGCGGCTTATGGCTCCATGTTGCGGCCAGTGTTCAACCAGGACCTGCGCTTGCTGCGCTGGCTACCCATAAAGGCAACCTTTATATCCGCCAAGATCCACCAGCTCCTGATGGGTAATTCAAACACGACAACTGACCGACAACTGTTGCTGACGAGACTCTACAGTGTTCGGGTAGCTGCAGTCGTACCTACCGAAGCTGGGGAGATTGGTATCAACCCTCCTGGCCCAGAGCCTACGTAAGTGTTCTTTGCCATGCACATTCGATAACTTTGAGTTGTACGAGGGCTGACATGTCCAAAACGCAGGCCGGTCAACATTGAGGGACATACAAAGTACCTGACTGAAGAAAATGGTTCAACCAAGGTAGGTTGCCGGGCTAGGACAGAAACCACGCTCCCAAGACCTTCGATACTAATCAAAACCTCCATGTCGTAGTGGATCGGCGTTGACCCTTTCTCATATTGCCGTCACCAAGTCACGACCACGAACGCCGCCGGCGAGACCGGGGTGGTGACGCTCGCAAAGGGCATCAGCGCCAGCAAGAACGCCGAGGGCGGTCTTGATATCCTGATAAGTCCCGCCGTCAAGGCCAAGCTTGAGGCTATCGCCAAGGAAGTAACGCCATGTGCAGCCAAGCGTCGGCGCCAAGTTCGGAACCGTAAACGAGGCGGCCCAGCCTGTGGCTTGGCTGACTTTGTGCAACGTGTCGGCGCCGACCAAGAGCTGCAGGAAACATTCGCTCACCCGCTTACGGACCAGGTCTTCAACGACTTTGACGAGGGCTACTCCGGCGACCCTGCCGACGACCCCGGCTGGGAGGGCGATGGCGGACAGGTCGGTCACGAGGACGAAGGTTACTTTTCCGAAGATGAAGAGGGTTTCTTCGAGGCCGCTGAGGGTGATGGCACTGCGGAGAGCATCGTCATTTCTTCTCCGGAGGAGGCTGCCGCAATTGGTGAGATCCTTTCCGGCGCCGGTGCCGCAGAGGCTGCGGCAGTCTGGGGAGGCTCGACCGTCACAGCGGGCTCGTTCTTGGCATGGCTCTATGGCACCCTCAAGGAGGGCAAGGAGTTGTCTTTTGCGCAGAAGATCCCGGCCGAGAGCGTCCACACCGTCACCAAGACCAAGTCTGAGACGACGACAACTACCTCTTCAAGCTGTGCTGTACAAACAGATGGACCCGTAAGTTACCGACGATCACCGCTCCTCATCTCACACGAAGTCTTGTCTTACATATATTGTCCAGCCTGCGTGCGATGAAGCCTGCAAGCCGACCGCAGTCAAACTTGAGGACCCTCGCGTGACCGACATTAACTACTGGGCCTGCTCAGAGGTGAGTGAACATTGTGGGCTACCATGCCCACACGAAACTTTGACGTCTACAAACAAGGTGGCTGACTTGGGGCACTAGGGCGACGGCAAGGGCTGCAAGTGCAGAACCGACGCGAAAGAGATCGCCAGCTATGCGGACGGCGAGTTCATGCAACAGATCCTCGACGTCTCCGGCGTGCTCAAGGACAAGCCACTGCAACCCACCATCGAATGCCCCAACGACCTCACCAACGTCCCGAGCAAGTATCTTGTCGACAAGACGTCGGTCAAGTTCTGCGAGGACGTCATGGGTGATCTCGGCAACGAGCGCCTCCCCGTAGCGTACGACATCCACGGCAACAAGATCCCCATCCTCAGAGCCGCCGTCGCCGCGGCGGCGTCCACAGACCTGACGGCGCGATGGCTCGGGAGGCGGGCCCCGCCGACGAACCCTGACAATTATCTCGACTACCGATTCTTCCTGAGCTACACGCCCGGGGGCGACGACTGCCTGGTGCCCAAGGAAGACCTCTGCAAGAACGCATACGAGGCCCTGGTCAAGAGCAACTGTACGTTCACCCGTCTGCCTCCTCCTGTCCCCGCAGCTCGATCCATGCATGGCGCCTAGCCGCAGACTGCTAACACTGCTTCTCCAGGCGGCACCAACCACGGCTCGGTCGGCGACATCATGTTCGCTGATTCCTCGATCGACGTCGGCTGCGGCAAATTCGCCTGGAAGGTCGAGAAGATGGCCGAGCCCGAGCCTCCCGAGCCCGAGCTCGAGGTGGGAGAGCGCCAGTGCAACGACGGATACAGCCACCACGACGTCCACAACGACCAGCAAAAGTTCTGGTCCGAGACGTACTGCAAGTGGACGGCGGAGGGCGTGACTCTGAAGAAGGGAGACGACAAGCTGAAGGAGATGTACATGCACCCCATTGGCCCGTACGCGGACCTCCACCAGAACTTCAACGTTTCCTGGGTCGAGGGTTGCGAGCATGCCGATGGGCAGAAAGCCGACTTCCCCATCCCTGGAGATGACAGTGTCACGTGCAAGTCCCTCATGAGAGACCTTTACGTAGAGTGTAAGTGCATCCGCGAGGAGCAAAACCGCGAACAGTTCGCTAACATAGCATGCGAACAGGTCGCACCAACGGAGGCGCAGGCGGGACCATTGACGCCGGCTGTCTGAGGTACCACTTCTGGCCTACAGAGCAGTGAGAGAGTGTGAGAGAGAGAGAGAGCGCGCGCGACAGGTAGACTTCGAGCACGATGGGGATAGTGTACCTCTAGGTAGTGTTGCAGCTCGGAGAGAAAGGAACCTGAGGATCAGCTGCTGGGGTAGCCCCAGCGCCGATAGAGATGGCGATGTATCAAAGCGTTTGAACAATTCCTGCCCTTCCAAAATCTGTGTCGATCTCGACTTTACAAGTTGAAAAGAGGCCAAACATGACCCCTTGTGCTCCATTCCATCGAGGGCTGAGTTCGCGCGGCGTCGTTATTGCTTCGACCTCATTTCGATTTCGGGCCACATTCGGGCACGACAATCTGTGATCCTTGCTCGCGCGATGATCTCGTTGCTTTTCTCCAGCCTGCATACAAGTGCCGCTGCCAGATCGGCAGCGCAAGGTAATTTAAGCCCCCACCTACTCGGCAGAGCTGATAACCGACAGCAACGCGAGGACCAGGGGATAGCGATTATTCCGATGTGCATATTCAGGGCAATCAATCGAGTGGCGCATGACACGTATAATTGGTACACATTACTATTCTCGTCAACATAAGCCCATCGCAGGGAAGAACATCTATCATCAAGCATGCCACTACCCGGCGATGGCCGCGAGCCCAAAATATTGCTGTCGCCATGGTAGAGCCGTCGTCCTCCCAAAAGAAAAAGAAAAAGTCGATCGCGCGACGACGATTGGCGTGTGGTGAAGACGACAATCTCGCTATCAAAACAAGGTATCATTTGCTTTCCCTTTCCGGCCAGTCACGCAGTTTTCGCGCCTCAGCTGGCTGCAGTCTCCATCAGACGCGCACCAGCCCAGCCTAGGCTCGCGCAGGACAAAGATTCAGTGACCGCTTCACGCCTTGGGAGGCGGCCCAGAAGGCGGCGCAAAATCATCGACGCCACGGTTGTACGTCTGCTGGGGCTGCTGCAGCTGAATGTTGTCGTGATTGCCGTAGTAGCCGTCGTTCTGGTTAAAGGTCGTGCCCGTGTGCTGGGGCTGCTGGCCGTACGCTGGCGGCGCGTTGTAGCCCTGCTGACCGTAGCCGTACTGCTGCTGACCGTACTGCTGTTGGTTGTAGCCTTGCTGGTTGTAGGCGTGCTGGTTGTTCTGGTGCTGGTTGGCGCCCCAGCGGTTGTTGGTCATCCAGCCAGTGCCGTACATGGGGGTGTTGCCCTTTCTTCTGCGCTTGCGGGAGCTGAAGCAGCTGTTGGATCGGTCAGCTCATGCGCGCTGGATACGGATCGGGGCCAGAGGACTACTGGCGATGAGAGAGAAAGAGGGAGATAGAGAAACATACCCAAGGGCGCAGAGGATGAGGAGGAAGACTACGACGAGAACGCCGGCGAGAACCCAGCGACCCCAGTAGTACCAGCTGCTGCGATTGCGCGTGTAGCAGCGGCCATTTCTGTAATATGTGCCCGAGGGGCAGCCAAATTGCCTGGGTCATGCATGTTAGTATCTGTCTGGAGAATGCACTCGTCAACAACGGCAGGCGACATACCTCTTGACGAGCTCGTCCTCGGCAGGGAAGAAATGCAGCCATGGCGATGGGGCGGTATGGTTTGTGGTTGATGTTGTTGTTGTTGAAAATGAACAGACCGGCTTTGATCAATCTGGCGATGGATGACGGATAAGGCAGAGAATGATGCCAAGGGCCGACAGGGATCAGGTGCGGTGCAGAAAGATGCCGGTTTCAAAGGGTGTTCGGGTCGATGACGTGGTGGGGGAAGTACAGGTGGCACCTGAATGCGCCGGATCGAGGCGACGCCGCAGTTCTTTGGTGGACAATAACGCTGTAGCCCGCGAAGCTTATTCCGGTGCGGTGAATGCAGGACCTGCAGGCTCGTTGTTGGGTGAGTGCTGTAGGTCACGGCGATGACTCGTGATGACTGACTGAGCCGTTGTTGCTGGTTCGAATGGGAGTTCAGAATTGGGAGGGGAGGGAAGGAAAGGGAGAATTCTGGGCGAATGGGTGGCCCATATGTATTTCTGCGTCAGGCGACATGGCCAAGCGCAAACACGACGTCGTCGACTGAGCCCTTCTTGTCTGGGCATGGGAACGAACCGGACCACCGACGGCGAGAGTCAGCGTTGGGCTTGGCTATGGCTTCAGCGAGCTGGTTACGTGGTTGCGTGGCCGAGCGTGAACGATGGAGCTTCCAAAGGTACTTGCTGATTGGCGGGCTCTCGTACGCGTAATGGAGGTACCGATACCTGACCAGGGTGGCTGAGCAGCTGAGCGTCCCCTCCGCTTCTCTGGCCGCGCCAACTCACATCACCCCCGCCGGTCATCACCAGGATTGCCACATCCGGCCAGGTGCTGATCGTCATGGCTGTATGGTGGTGGATGAACTGGAGGAAAGCAGGCAGTCCCTGCCCCTCACGTTACCCTCCCCCCAGTTGTGCGACCACGTTTTGAGGGTCGTACGAGCTCTCTGTCAAGCTTCCTGCTAGCCCACGCTGTCGGCCCACTGTTGTACAGTGGTGCCCCAAGGTGCCCCAAGGTGCCCCAAGGTGCCTACACCAAGGCTTCGTACCTTGCCTCCGAAGCTTTCTCAACGCCCCCCCCCATGACCGCGCTGAGCCACCAGGCCATGACCACATCCCAGTGCCGAGAGCTCTAGCACGCGCCTCCTGTCCAACGCGATCAAGCTCCATATGGAGCTACTAAGCCCAGATTACGACACCGCTAGTCTGTGCCAACACAACAAGGAACCCAAGTGCAAATAGAGTACCATTGCGCTGGACGTTTGTGCCGATTCTGCCTGCGATGTGCCAAGGGCTTGGGGTGAGAGCATCTGTTTGAGATCGGTTGTGTTCTGAGCAGGGAAACATAGCGAACAAACAGATTTGCGCGTTTCCGCCATCTGAGAAAAGATGGCCGGGTGTGACTTTGTATGCCACAGTCCGTCAGATTTCCGGCCTGTCTCAAAAGATGGGTCATCGGTACTGAGCCATCCATCATGGTCGATTGCTCCGCCACATCGACCACTTCCTCTGAACTGTGCAGCCTTTGCTTTGATCGCCCCAATGTTATCCTTGTCCCGAGTCACCGCTACTGTTGCTGCCTGATGATTTGACTCGAGCCTCGAGTTCGACTCTCCAGTATTTGTCATCTACAGCCACGACTCCCCAGGGCAAAGCTCCCTCGATGGTGTGTTGCTTGTCATTCATTAGTTAGGTGCTAAGGATGTCATGGCGCTGTAATTGGTTCCTGTGAACGTGTCCCTTGTTCCATGCACGCAGCTTCGCCGTCCTTCACCCGATTTCCCTGCTCCAGCATAAAATCCATCACCGTGCTCCCCGAACCCTTTTTTCAACCCTTGCGATCCTCTTGCAATGAATGTCAGAGTGGAGAATCGTCGCGTGGCCGGCATTCCAAGCCATTGCCCCCATTTCCCATCGCCGGGGACCAAATGCCGTGTCGTAAAGCCTCTCGTGAAGGCCTCCATCGATCAAAAGACCATAGCTCCCCCGCAATGTATGTGTCTCGAAGAAGAGAGAATGACCGCCACGCCCATGTGGTGTTTCCCCCCCCCAAGGTATGTTGTCTCGAATCCACACGCCCGAGTTCCTGGTCATTAGTGAAAGAAATAACGTGTCCTTGCTCCGAAAATAAATAAGAAAAGAACGCCTTGTGTCCCTGATTACCATCTCGGTGCCGGGGAGGGAAATGCCCCATGTCCTCGTCGCCCAGCGTGCGCACATCACTTGGGATACGAGTAGCGCGGAGGGCCCTTGTCGGCCTCCCTCTTGGTTCCGGCCCCCGCCTGCGCCTGCCCCTGCTGCCGCGCCGCCAGCTCGGCAATCTTCTCGCGCGCCTTCATGAGGCTGCTGTTGTCCTGCTGTTTGAGCTTGGCGCGAATGTCGTACAGCGCCATGAGCGTCGACGCGCGGTCGAGGTCGTCCTCCGGGTCCGAGTCGCGCCGCGGCGTGCCGGGGACGGAGCCCTGGGCCGAGTTTGTGCGCGTCAGGGGCGGGCTCATGAGGATGCGGCGGCCGAACTTGTCGTGGCGCGCGGGGCCGGTGCCTGCGCTCGGGGAGGCGGAGCCCGTGTTCGTCCGCGGGATGGCCTGCGCGGACTGGGCGCGGCGGAGGTCGTCGGAGGGGCGGCGCGGGGCGGCGAGGCTGTGGCGGTCTTGTTCGACTTTCTGGATGGCCTTGTTTGCTGTGACGAGGGCGGCGGCAGCGTTGGGTTCCTGCACAAGACGAAGAAAGAAAGACTTTTGTCAGCTCTTCTGATGGTAGATGCCAGATTTCGCCAACAAAAAGTGTGCCCAAGCGGCCAAGCGGGGGTGGGCACACGACATCACCGGGAGAGAAGGGAGGAGGGGTGGCTTACCGCCGCGTTCAGACTGCTGAGATCAGCCAGCATCTGCGCCATCTGCAGGCTTTCCATGGCTGGCTGTGTGTGGTGGTTTCTGTACGGTGAACAGAGGAAGTCGTTCGTGTGATCTTATCTTTGATCGGGGGTGCGGTCGCCGTCGCTGGGTGCACGCGCTGCAAAATGTGGACAGCTCGACAGCTTGATGACGGAAGCTTTTTGGACTTTCGTCGCCCAGAGGCCAGCAAGAAGAGACGGGGTAAGGCTCTGGATCCCTTAGTCTAATGTAAAGCGGTGGATCGGACAGAAAGGAGAGCCCACTTGGCCGTGGTCGCGAACCCCGCTGGGTTGCGGGAACAAGGAAGCCAGCCCTCACAGGGCTAATCCCCTTGTGGCAACTGGGTTGCAGTGCCCCCCACACGAATTCTGCCATCCGGGAGCCTCGACCCCGCCTCCAACCTGTGCTCTGGTCGCGACCTGCGAAATCAGCCGCGAACGGGCCACACCCTCTTCGCCTCCGTCATGGGAAGACGCCAACGAGGAGTCGTCGAGTTGGAAGGAAATGACGTGTGTCAGGCGACTTCATGCGGCGACCTTCGTATGTGCCACCCTGTTTTATGCTGGCACTTGGATCAAGTCACCTGGAGAGCCCCTTATCTCGCTTTCTTGCGTTTAGCACAGCTTGCCCATTCAAGCAAAGCATTCAAGTACTGCTACATGTATCGAGCGAGTCAACTTTCAATGCAGGGTGCAGCTCCACACGCACAATCAATCTTGCATGTCTTAGACTTGCTGATGGGATGAGACGAAATGCGCCCAAGGTGCTGGCCACTGTGAGTGCAGGTCTCAGCCAGTCTCTCTGCCGATGGCAAGGTCCAGCTACGCCGGTTCTATTACTAAGGTGCACCGCCTTAGTCAGCAAATGTGGAAGTCGCGATTCATCCTTCTCACTCACAAGACTTTCGATTGCCTCGTCAACGGTAGAAAAGGAGACTGCCGATCCTCCAAGGCTTGCGGGAGCATCGCAAGTGGATGTGTAATTCAGAATACCATAGCATTGTCTGTCACGAGCTTAACGTCTTTCAGCCGCATCGTCGTAGCCCAATTCCCAAATCCCACGCTCGGCAATGGTACCGATTCCTCGGACCGAGACCCGAGACCCACGCAGACCTCCGAACCAGGAGCGTGTTGTCGGTTTGTTGAAATACACTCTCATGTCATGACCATCGTCAACAGCCTCACTCATCGCCACTCCGCACCTCAACCATGTCGCTCCTGTTCAAACGCTCCATGGCTACGGCCTCTTCTCTGCGGACAGCCGGCAAGGTTGTCTGCGTTGGCCGCAACTACGCGTAGGGCGGCCCCCTTCTCCCTTGCCCCGAAACTCTTTTCCGCGAACCCGGGGCTAATGTCATGTGCTCAGCGACCACATCAAGGAGCTCAATTCGGCCAAGCCCAAGCAGCCCTTCTTCTTTCTGAAGCCCACATCCTCCATCCTCCTGCCCGGTGGCGGCGCCATCCAGCGGCCCAAGGGCGTCGACATGCACTATGAGATTGAGCTTGCCGCCGTCGTTGGCAGGCAGATCCGCGACTTTGACCCCAACGACGAGCAGGGCGCTCTCGACGCCATTGAGGGTTTGTACACCCATGGAGACCCTCTCATGCACCTGCCTGCTGACATCTCCACAGCGTACGCCATGTCCATCGACCTGACGGCGCGCAACGTCCAGAACGAGGCCAAGAAGAAGGGCCTGCCCTGGAGCATCGCCAAAGGCTTTGACACATTCCTGCCCATGAGCAACATCATCCCCAAGGCCTCCATCCCCGACCCCCACAACGTTGAGGTCTTCCTCAAGCTCAACGGCGAGACGAAGCAGGACGCGTCCACGAACCTCATGCTCTTCCGCCTCCCCCGTCTGCTGGCCGACATCTCCAAGGTCATGACGCTCGAGAAGGGCGACATCATCCTGACGGGCACGCCTGCTGGCGTCGGCCCTGCGGGTCCCGGCGATGTCATCACGGGCGGAGTGCGCGTCAACGGCAAGGAGCTTGTCGAGGGCAAGATTGAGTATGCCGTGGAAGAGTCGACGAGCTCGTACGAGTTCAAGGAGACGTGAGAGCTATGAGTTCAGGATGTTTGACACCCCCCGAGAGCATCCCCTAATCTGGTCTTTTTCTTTCACGAGAGACAAACGTATATCAATGTATACCACGATCCATCTGCCGTTTGCTGTTTTCCTGCGCCTCCCCCAAATGCCATGCACGCCGCCCGTGACGCTGACTCGCCCCATCTTGACCCGCACAACGGCTGGAGGAGCCACAAATCCCGGCCGACGGAATATCACGCATTCATACCCACCACCACTGGGGCTTCTCGACCAAAGAACCCTCTGCCCCGTTCCACAGTGTGTTCATGAACCGATCGGCCGAAAGCGGAAGTCATCAACAGGGGGGATGGCGCAGTTGGGAGCGCGTTAGACTGAAGTCAACTTCAGGAAGTCAATCTAAAGGTCGCTGGTTCGATCCCGGCTCACCCCACGTAGCAGATCTTCGGATCTCACACTTTTGTCGCACGCGCGTTCGTTTTTGGTGGCTGCTATGTTTGAACGGCAGACCGCATGCAGTGTCGGTGTGGCAGCACCTCAACCATCATAGTGGCCATGAGGATGGATTGCGCATCACAAATTGACAATGCCTGGGTCATGAAAATTCATAATGTATACATGCGATCCGAACGCCGTCACACAGACACCCCCCTCCCTCCCTTCCCCCCCCCCCCGGCCCCAAGTCGTACGTGTCACCCTTACTCCAGGTTCGGGTCCCGAATGCTCCCCGGCCGCGGCGCCGCCTCAGCCATGGTCCCGCACGCGCCGCATCTCCTCTTCTCCTCGCTCGCCTTGAACTCGTTGACGGCCGCCTTGATCTGCGTGCCTAGGTCTGTGCAGTGGAAGGCCGCCTCGTGCACGACGGCCCGGCAGCCGTCGCAGTACCAGCGCATGCGATCGAGGCTTCCCGGCGGGCGGCCCTGCTCGAACACGACGCCGACCGTGTCGGCGAAGCGGACGGGGTTGTGCGGCGTGTTGGCGGGCAGCAGGAACATGTCGCCTCGCGGATGACGATGTCCTTGAAGGGCGCGTCGGCCGGATCGACGACCTTGAGGGTCATGGCGCCCTTGTACTGGTAGAACCACTCGGGCGTCGTGTTGATGTGGTAGTCGGTGCGGGCGTTGGGGCCGCCGACGATCTGGCGGCCGTGTTAGAAAGAAGAGCGCTCATACGAATGCCTGAGAAGGCGAGGGGGATGAGGAAACCCGGCGAACGTACCATGACGGTGAAGTCATCGTTGTAGACGCAGTAGTTGTTGATGGGGGGCTTCAGCAGGTGAGAGTTCTCTTCGAGCCTGGGTGGCAGTTACAAGGCTGTCCGAATCGCAACATGGCGCGCTGGTTTTGACTCACCACTTGGGCAGGTTGATGGGATTTGAAAGCATTCCGCGAGGCGTTGTGAAGTGCGGTGCTTGGTGAGAGTATGGTGACGCGTGCAAACCAAACCAACTAACAATATTCGAGTCTCTTTACAGGATTCGATGGTTTTTCAATTCTTTTTGGAAAATCAAACTAAAACGAGCATCGCGTTTGAAATGCCTCTTCGGTAAATTGAATGGCAAGGCGCGGCAGTGTCGGCGCGACGGCTGTGACTTCAGCGGCATTTGCCCCTCCACCCGCACCCCTACCATAACCCCGCGACATGATGCGACTGCCGTCTGATTGGTGTACCTCTGCGTTATCAATCAGCCATGGCCACCCACGGCGGTACCCGCCTCGTCATCGCTTTGATTATTCACCTGGTCAGAAAACCTTTGCTTCTGACAGAGGCATGGATCGAAGGGATTCTACCATTGTCTGAACTAGGGCGATGGAATAGGCGGCGTCACCTTGTATGGGTGTCGTGAACACCAAGCCAAAGTGAATGATGACTAAGCCCACCTATGGTGTGGCCTTCTACATGTACAGGCGACATCGGCAGACCATGGTGTTTTTGCGGGTTTTGAGGACCAAGCAAAAAGGAGTGCCGCCATAGAGCAACGCCAAAATAACTGCTTGTCGCTGACTACCTTGGCTCGGATCATCAGATGAGGTCAACACATCGCCAACATGTCGTCCGATAGGAATTGGACTTTGCTGCCGTGCGACCTCGTTGAGCACCAGATTGGCCAGGTCGACCTTTTGATGGCCATGTTCCCCACAGAAGAAGAGTTGACGATCCGAGATGAGTCGGAATATATTCTGAGCGCTCTGAAGACCAGCATTGAGGATGGCTCAGTACCGACCTTCAGCGCGTTGCCTGCTGTGGCTCTCCTGCTCACATTGGCAATCCCGGATCCTCAAGATCCAGACATCCACAAGTCGCTGCAGCTCGACATCAACGCACCATTCGCCTATGAAGGAAGTCATGCGCCGGACGAAGCACCAAGGATACGAGTCCGGATCCAGAAGCCGGACTGGCTCAGCAAGGCGGAAACAGCCCATCTCAACGCCCAGCACTCCGAGGTCGAAGAAGACCTCTTCAGTACAGTCGAAGCCATTCAAGAGGCGGCGGCCCAAAAGCTCAAGGAATCTCAAGAGGCTCGCGTCGACACCACATCAGATGCTGCTGCTGCTGCTGCTGCTGCGAACGGAGGCGGACCTCTAGTTCGAGTTTGGTTCTACTTTCCCTCCATCTCGACACGCTCCAAGCGCGATGACTTCATCATCAACGCGCCGCACTACAACCTGACGGGGTTCTTGTACGCCGGAAAACCTGGCCTTCTGTGTGTTGAAGGCCCCTCACAGTACATCGACGACTACATGAAATTCATCAAGACGGAGAGCTGGGGCGACATTCCGGCACATCACAAAAAGGTCAGCGAACGTCATCGTGAGAAGGGTATCACGACGAGAGTGTTTGCAGACATGCAGGAAAATTACAGATACCGTAGGGCAAAGGAGGGGCAACGTGCGAATCGAGGTGACATGAAAGCAATTGAGGAGTGGCTGTTGGAAAGAGGGCTGGGCGACGCGTTTACCAAGGTACTGATGTAGGCGAGCATACTAGAGGAACAATGGTCGCCAACCAGAGCAAGACAACGACTTGCGCATTTCCAAGCCTACCTCAAGCTGCGATAGCGGTCAAAAGTCGCGGAGTCCACAGCAGACCTGGAGCATGCCGCATGCCGCGCACAGCAGCACCCTAGGAATCATAGCCATGCTGACTATGAGCTACCAGGTATACGAGGGGTTGCGGGCGGGTTCTGGAACCGCCGATAGTATAGATTCGAGAGGTTCAGCTAATGCTATGTTCACAAGTGGGCTGCCATGCCATTGCCGCGGGGAATCCACCCTGCCTTGGCCTGTCCTTGCACCAGGGGACGGGAGGCACAAACTTATCCCACAACCTGACCTGAAGGACAAGCGAGCCCACACTACATCTATGCTGAAGAAGGCGAAAATTTCGCTCGCTAATTGAACACTACATCACTACCGTCATTGATGGCAGGGATACTAGCTGCGTGGCGCCCCATCATAGCCCGACTGAGACGAGGTTTCAAGCTCCAATAGGGCTGCCAGTCTTCTTGGTGTGCCATGATGCAGCCAAAACCCCTATGAGCAGATGCATTCCGATTCCTGGACAAGCTTTACGTGGGCCAGGTGAACTCAGCTGAAAACGCTTCGACGTGCCGAGAAAGATTCCACACTACTCATTCATATGCGGAGATCCGTGATGATCATGAATTCCTGCGTAGTGGACGCCGTGATCCATGCGCGGCATATTCTTCCCCATGTCTCAATCATGCCTACACCCTGCCTGTCTCATCTTACCTTGACTGGACCCAATGCTCGTCTGTATGGAATGTCTTGCGGCACGTAGGTATTTGGGAGTAAACCTTGGAAAGATCATTTCCAATTGTAGCCTACTTGTTTACACATGACCGCATTGCAGCACCTTCACCAACTCCAGGTTTCATTATTCGAAATAACGCGTGAGCTCACATGCACATCGAGCTGCCTCTAGGATTCTCTCGGCACAGGTATATAAAGGCGCTCCGCAAGCACCAATCTAGGCTTACTGAAATAATTGCGCAATCAAATCCCAGACCCTCTTGACACCATCAATCATGAAACTCATTTCTGCAACAGGCCTGGCTCTCTTCGTCAGCTTCGGCTTCTCTCTACCTTCAATGATGAAGACTACCTGCCAATTGGGCAGCATTGGGCCTGCCAATGCGGGAAATGCAGCCTGTAGCGCTTCTGTAAGTCTAAGGGAACCACCCGCTCACGCTCTCACGGCGAGGTCAACCTTGGATATCCTTTGCTTACAAGCGGACTAGTGTTTTGTTCAGCACGGCAACATCCACGGTGGACACTGCAATGAAAACGCGTAAGTTCAAGGCACCTTAAAATACATGATGGAGGTTAACATGAAAGTAGTGTGTGCGTTTGCAACTAGGTCTTTTGGACGGGTTCAGAAAGTTAGAAATACTCAACCATCGTCTACGTTGGCCCCAGAGCAGTGGCGGCAAAGTCAATGCTCTTTATCATTGTATTTGCAACGGGAACGAATACGAATATTCAAATCAAGGACTGCCTGCTCTCTCCCGGAGGAAATTTGACCTCACACCTGATCAGTGACCTTTATTTTGGCATTATGCGATGCTTGAAATGACGATGCATCGATCCTCCAGCTTCCTCGCCTCCTATTGGAAACACGGTTATTGATTAAGAAGGCCATAAAACTGCTTCTGGATATCAGCCCTCGCGTCAGTTCTGGTACCCGTAAAGGTGCTTCCCCGGCACTTGTCCAGTATAACTGAGCCGACAGTCTCCAGATCGGGTTGCCGGGGCTTCTTGGGCACCAACCGTAGGAACATAGATTGAATCCTCCTTCTTTGACTTTTCTGCATGGCATAATGAGAGCATAATATACTGAGATGCTTGCCGCTGGGCTTCGGGCTTCCTTGCACGACTCAGTAGAGAGAAACCGAGCGCCAACTCAGATACGAGGTGAATTTCGACACTCCTTCCAGTACCTTTTCCCGGGTGATCTACAACGCCCTTGGGCTTACAAACACGCGACAATTTCAAGACATCGATGGATTACTATCTCCCCCAATTGACCCTGGCAGTGATGGGTGGTTGTTGCTACTGACAAGGGGCGACCATCCCTGGTCATCCCACGAGTGTGGGGGAAAGGATTGAAGTCCAAGCCACACCCGCCAAGAACACTATTTACGGGTCTGGCTCGCATGTTCTAAGAGCCCTAGCCGCGTCCGAGTTGCATTCTAAATCCTCCCTTGGCTTGAACCCTGCTACAGGCTCCCTATTTTTAGCTGCCCGTTCGACTGCCGGCATCCTGACATTGAGGATTTTGGGTCTCTTACCACAACAGTCGGATAATTTCCCAAGTGATCGATGGAGGCTTGGTGAGCTAGTTGCGATGGTCCGCTGTCCATGCATTCAGACACGGCATGGGTTGATTGCCAGCGTAATCAGTCTGCAAATAGCATATCAGCGTGGTTCGAGATAGTCTTCGGCATCATGATCCTGCCCGAACATCCACGACAACCCGAAGTTCACGGTATAGTGAGCTTGCTTGACTGCACCCAATTTGACATAAAAGACAGATGCCCAACGAGTTTTCAAGTCAATCTCTTTGGATATCATCAACATCATCATTCACTCCTCCTAAACAGCATCATCGACAGCTCCTGGCTTTCTCCATCTCACTCAGCTATCCTCACAGCAGCTACTTTGCGACCTTCAACAACTCTTGTCCGGGATCCGCATTCGTGGCGCTTCGATAACCACAATGCCTTTCTTCCTTTCGGCCGCTCTTCTCGGCCTCGGCGCTGCTCACTTGGCTGCGGCTCAGACTGTCAACTGCAATTCTATGGGAATCCCGAATGGCTACCAGGGCTTTGACAAGTGGCGCGCCACAACCAAGGACTGCTCGGAGGCCACCAACAAACTCGAAGAACACTTTGGTCAGGCAGTCCCAGAGGCTTCCTTCGGTTGCGTTTCTTTGGCCGTCTCGGGCGGGTGCGAAGTTTCCATGTGCGACTCGTCGGATGTCCGCAGAAACATCGACTACGCCGCGGCCTGGACGGCGGCAAGGGCCATTCATGCCAGACACAAAGAGAACGGAGAGGTGGCTGGGTACATCTCGCTTGACGATTACAGCGATGCTGGTGGCTTCAAGGTGTTCGTCAAGGTTGCCGCGACCGACAGCCCCAACCCGACCGGCAAGCGAAAACGCAGCCTTGTTCGGCCGCCCCAGTGCCTTGAACCTGGCTGAGCGGGAAGAGGTCAAGGAGGTGGAGGCTCGAGCCCCATCTGACGAGGCCAGCGCGCTCTCTGCAGTGGAAAAGCGCTGAGAACTGGAACTGGTTTAGCAAGGAGAGCTGGCCTATCGATCACACCGGGCTATACACCAACATCAGAACTGCGTGGGGCACCGATGAGCACATCGCCGATGACCAAGTCCTTAATGCTATGGAGAATCTTCTCACCGACTGGAACAACGTCCAAGGCAACCCTTCGAGCCTCACACCGCCTGCATACCATGCCCCCAACGACATGAGGATCCAATTTGAGTGGGCTGCGCACAACAACCATAACGTCAATGACATTGGCTACGAGGAAAGAATTCAAATGCTGCACTGGGCAGTTCAAGAACGCCGAATCCACGCCCCGCGTCAGAACTTCTCCATGCAGGTCAGACGTGGCGCCGTGACCATCGGTCATCTCATCATTCGCGTTTTCTGGGTCGGCCAGGACCAGTCGCTGTCTAACGTCTGTGACTAAAACAAGGAACCCAAAGGTCTTGCAGGATGGAACGCAATGTCGGAAACTGGCGCTTTGAGATCAAAAGAGAGGGGAAAGGGGTACATAACTTGTGCGAAGTTCAGAGCGGGTGTACTCAGAGGGCAATATAAGAGATGTTTCAAATCGATCAACCTGCACTTTATACAGCCCATAACCCTTTGCCAAGTGTCGTTTCATTTTCACTCGATTCCTATCTGAGCATATCGTTTCTTTGACTTAGATCAAGGTCGGCAGTCGCGTGCGCCATCGGCGTACTCCATTGACAGAACCAAGGTCCGTCCAACAAGACGGTAATCATCGGCTCCACGGGAAGCAATAAACCACTTTTCTTTGGCACTAACAGCTGGTGACGAAGCTAAGGATATCAAGATGACTTACGCGCCATCTCAGATTAGGTACACACTGTTTGAATCCCACCAGTTGCAGTCTTGTGGTCTGTGCAAACAACCTGACAACAGGGGTATATATCAGTGCACTTCCGGCTGCCCTTCTGTCCCCGCCATGTCACGTTGTCCTGGACGAGCTTCGTAGAACATACAGGGACTTGCCAGAAACCCGGAGTCGAGATGCCCTGTTGAAGGGGAAGGAAAGTCGGACTGTCAGGACCTCCAGTAGCCGTGTCTGCCGACTTGCGCAAACCGAAGGGCAGCTTCTCGCCGTTTTCTTTCCATCCGTCATAAGCAGACCGCGCAAGCTCCTGCCAGGTAATCTCCCAGTCGTTGTCTGCCTTACCGATGTCCGGCAAGCCGTATGGATACTCTGCTATGCTGCTCTCCCTCGTCTTTCCTCCAATCGACTTAACAGACGGGACGCAAATAACCCACAAGTCTTTGTTGTCGTACTTCAAGTACGCGTCATTGCGCCACCTGCCCAGGAAATTGGTGGTCTTCTGCGGGTCAAAAGGCTCGAATGATCCAACGGCCACCACCGGGGCACACGACTCATCGGCCGCCCAAGCATTGGTGACAAGCCTGGCGTGGATTACCTTCTTGACGACGGTGCCCATCTGACCCTGGCTCACATCCTTCGCTGGATTCAAAACGAACAAACCATTGTTGAGGAGGCCAATCATGGCAGCCGATCCAGCAGGATCCCCGCTGAACAAGAAGTTCATGAGGTTGTCAATGCTGTCTTTCAGCATCTTCACCATCAGCTCGGCTGCCTTCTGAACCGAGTCGGCCGCATCAATAGCACCCTGCTCACTGCTCGGACGTGGTGCACTTAGTAACTAGGCCAAGACGATGTACGTTGTTCTCTAGGCGTGAGGAGGGTGCTGTACTCACGAGTCTGAAACATTGCCTCCCATGAACTCATACGCGCTGATAGCGCTGCCTACACTGTCGCGTGCGCTTGTTGCTTTATCGTTGGCAGCCGTCCACTTGGAGAACTGATCTGTGTCCAGAACCTGTTCACGAGTAGAGTCAGATGAAAATTCAAGTGTGTGTATGCCACAGAATACGTGAAAGCCCTCACCTTCTCCCAAATTCCAGCACCTGTGAATGCGAATATGGTGTCGAAAGAACCCAGGATAACTTTCAACGTGCCAAGCCAGTTCCCGGTCTGTGGCCGCACAAACTTGGCTGCCATGTCCTTTGCGTTGCTCGTGATGGAGTTCTCAACTTCGACAACAGCATCGTAATACTTTTGGTAGAATGCGTTGAGGTTTCCAAAGGCGAGCTCGACCATAGCTACGGACGAGTACGTGAGGGTCTGGCAGCTGATGGCATTGCTGTACGATGCAGATGTTAGATCTCACTCGAAAAAGAGGGTACAGCATCCATTGGGTGCACACATACCAACCACTCTTGCCGAGTTTGTCGCACGAATAGTCCTCTGGTAACTCTGTGGCCTGGCTCGGGTCATGATCGGTTCCCCACATCCAGCCGACGGCGACAGGCATGTTGGTCAACCACCGGGGGATGATATCGGGGTTGCCGTTGTTGCGAATTCTGGTGATTAGCTCCCACCATGCCATCATGTCTTCGAGGGTCATTTGTGCCATGACTGCGTCCCACCTCTTCCAAGGGTCGATGCCGATGTTTCCAGCGATACCACAGTCTTTCCTATCTGTTCGAGTGTCAACCTGATTCTAGATGAAGGGGCATATATGGAGCCAAATGAGCACTTACAGCATTTCCACGCTGTGATACAAATGTCAGATATTATCGTCACGTAGTAAGTAAGGGTCACTTACGGAGGCCAGAATTGGCTGCTTTGCAAGCTGCCATGTCCTTCACCTTGCCGTCATCGTCAAGCGGCGTCTCCTTAAAGATGCCTCCTGGGACAGCAGGCCGAGTCTGCGTGCAAGCTGACGGAGGACAGTATCCTCGTGAACAAGCAAAAGCGCAGAGACCAATGTACTCAGATCCAAGGTTCGCCAGCGGGTAGCCAAGAGGTTTGCTTGCAGGGGGCTGGACCATGCGGCCCTTGGTGGAGCATGTGCACGGGGAGGGGCTACAGAAAATTAGCATGCCTCCTGGATTTACGGCGAGGACATTTGACGACTGACCAGTATCCGCGGCCACAGCTAAAGTCACACAGGCCCCCGAAGTTTCCTTGTCCGGTTCCGGATACGCATCCTTGCTGGGTTACCGGCACCTCGGGCTCTGGCTCTGCTGGCTCCGGGATAGGCTGGGGAATGACGCATTTGCCCTTGAGCGATGCGTCTTTCGTGCATACTCCAGTAGGACAATAGTTGTGGTTGCATGAGAACTAGTAGTGAGTATTGTGAGTCAGCAAGAGTCTCCGCATCGACGGTGCATGGTGTTGGAGCTCAAGAAGAGGCTTGAGAGAAGTATTCAGACTTACAGAGCAAAGTCCCTCGTACGTGCAAGTCATTCTGGTATGTCAGTGGTAAGCATGTAGCTGCGGACGTGGTGATGGACGGATCTCTTACCCAGCGGCAGGCCAAGCATCAATGTTGAGGGACTTGGGCTCGGTCACCTTGAGGCCCATCTTGGTACAAGTACAGGGTCCGCGAGGACAGTAGCCATAGTTGCAAGCAAAGGAGCAGATGCCCTCGAAATTCTCGTGAGCAGCCCCGAAATCCTTCACTCCCGTGCCGGCGACGCAAACTTGGTCACCCAGCGATCGCGGCGGCGTCACAGAGACCGCTGCGCCTCTGGAACTGCCGACCCAGGCGTTCCAGTTGTTGAGGCCAGCGTTCTTGGAGCAGTCCGTTGTGATGGCAGGGCCCTTCACTGAGAGGCCGCCCCTCGACAGACTCACGACCACCTCGCCTGTGGCGCCGTTGAAAGGCACACTGCCGTGGTAGATACCGACGCCTCCGTCGGGAATGGAGTCCCAGGCCCATTGGGCCTGCGCCTTGCCACCGATGGAGACTGTCGCTGCCGCGTTGGAGCCCAGCAGGGCTGAATAGAAGATGCGGTCCTCCGAAAGTTCAGCGGGAGAGTACACCGTCTGATGCTGGGAGGCTGTGTTTCCTGTGGTTCCGCCACTCGAGCAAGCCGAGCCTGGGTTCAACCGATACCAAGTAGTCAACGTCTCACGAGACACCGTCGAGATGTTGTTCTTGTATGTGTCGATGACATAAGGCAGCATATCACGCCATCCGTCATGTGGCATATCCCGAACATAGTTGAAAGGCGAATTGCCTCTGTTGGCAGCAAAAGCAGAGTATTGCCTCTCGTCCAGAGGACCGATGTAATGAGACTCCCCATAATCGTTCCATGAGATCTAGAGATGGGTTAGGCTTTGCATCGAGGACGCAAAAACAAAGAAAGAGAGGCAAGAACCGTGCAACCAGCATCACTTACGATTTGCACAAACTCGGGTTGCAAGTACCAGATGTGGGCCCAGCGATCAAACCAAGTGTGGTCGCCCCTCCAAAGCCAGTTCTTGTCAAAGCCCGGCATGTTTGTGTAGAACCAAGGGGCGACCGGCATCATGTAAGGCATGCCCTTCATAAAGTCAAGGTAGGAGGCATCGACCTCAGTGTTCTTACGGTTCGGGCCTTCAGCCCAAGCGGCCCAGCTGAATAGACCATCAGCGACGCCGAGGGCCACGGCCTTCTTGGCTCCTAGGGAGGACCAGGACGGGATGAAGAAGCACCCGGTCTCTTTCTTGATTGTGGGCCAGTCGGAAGAAGATTTGGGACCCTCAAACGTGGAAACGAGGGGCTGAGAGCCGCGGCGGAAATAGGCTGACGAGGCGGCATACTAAAGCAAGGTGTTGTGAATATAAGCTCTGCAGTCGGACGGTGCAAGTTTGAGCAAGATGTTCGTTGGACCTACTTTCTTGATCATGGTTATGACAGTGCCTTGCGGCCACGCCCCGTTGCCAGCATAGTCAAACGATAGGAAAAGCTTGAAGCCCTTACTTTCAGCAGCAGTGAAGAAGAGCGGAAGGTTGGCGTCGGTGGTGTCCTCATCCATGGAGAAGTTGACGGCAAAGCCATCAATGTGCGCTTCTTGGGCAAGGCCGATCTCACGCTGATAGTCTGCCACGGTAAAGCCGGCGGTGTTAGACAGCATGAAATGCGCGAAAACCGACTTGGCCTGGATCTGCACTATCCAGAGAGCCAGAGCCAGCAGCGCAGCAAAAGTTCGACAGCCGATCATGTTGTCGGGCGTCAGGAGAGATTGCCAGGTGGGTGAGGATGCCTCTGAGGCCGTTAGAGTAACCTGCACTCATGCTTCTGTCTTCCTCGCGTCTCTTATATGAATCTGCGCAGGAGACGAACCCCCGCCCTAGTCATCATCGAAACATGGAATGCCCCTTTGCCTTGTTGAGCTCTTTTCCAGCCTGCATGCTCGTAAGCCGTCCCGCCGAAATCCTTCAACAGAGCGATGGTACGGCAAACGGAGATCGGGTCCTTGTCCTTGAGGAATTACTAGCCCCAAAACCCTCATCCAGCGCTGTAATTTGTGCAGCATCCGAGACCTAGATTGGATCATGGAGATTGGGATGCGGGATGAGTGCCGTTCGCAGTTTAGCTCGCCGAACCGTCGACCCAGGCCCGCGGGCTAGGCCGAGCATTAAGGGACTTTGGTCTAAGCCCTATGGCAGTCGACCCGATCAAATCTCTTGGCCCTGGAGATAGCCGGGCGAACATGGCAAACGTGCTGGACGATATTGCCACAAAGCTGCAGCAGGTTCGGCTCGTACTCTGAGTCGGCTTTTGCTGGCCGCGTTACATGGGGTGAGGTGAGCACTAAGCAGGGTCTTGGTGCCGGGGGTTTTCCCTGCATGGTTGGACCCCATCGGTGGAACAACTGTCCCCGATCACCTGCCTACATTGGCAAGCCGTAACGAAGAAAAGAGAGCCAGGGGTGATTCGGACTTGATGGGAGAGCTGGTAGCGAGTACCAGGACGAGTGTGACGATAGGTCGAAGAGGAAATCTGCCTTCGCCACGGGTTACCCGGCACGAGAAAACTATGCCTGCATCTCACAAGGTGACAACGCTTCGCTCTGTTACATGGAAAAATCCACGACGGTAGCCCATATATTTCTTTCAAACAGGCACGCCACGCTTTTCACAGAATCGCTGTGTAGATAGGCAGGTATTTACGGCAAGCTGATGTCGAAACAGATTGAAACCCTCGGCGGCTCGCGATGCTAGGCAATGCTGAAAGACGGAGGCTGAGTATGCAGGTGGTGCAGCTGCAGGCCTCATTCGCAGTGCCTCGCAGGGATTAGACATCAACGCAGCTCAAGGCTTTCATAGTCTTGGCGCGTGATGACAAGCCATGACCACTGCTCCAGAAACATCGTGAAGCCTGGTCGCTAGGGCTGGCTCAATCCTTCGTATTATCCCCAGTCGAACAGATCATCGCATTTCTCATGGAGGTGACGACTGGAGTGGCCGGCCTTGTCATATTTGCCATCGATGCGGCCTTTAAGCTCACGAATCTCGTCAATGAAATCCGAGACGCGCCCGACGATATTCGCGATCTGGGGTCGAACCTCATATCCCTTGCAACGATTTTGAACAGCACAAAGACATTGTGCTCGCTGGACGAGTTTAAAGACGTCGATGAGCTGCTGTCGGAAACTCTGATGAGCTGCGTGAAACAAGTGCGAAGGATGCCAGCAGCAGCCTGTACGACGAGCTGAGCGCCTTCAAGCTCGCACGCCGACGAACCCCTGGCGTGTTAGGCGGAGTTTGCGACAAAAGGTGCACTGGTCCTGGCGGCAAAAGTCAAGGCAGGCTCTTAAAACGAGACTGTTTGATTCTAGAGACAACCTGAACATGGCCATCACCGTCCTCAATGGGTACCAAACGTTCAGTCCAGCAAGGTCCTCTACAGTCGAGCTGACAGACGATGCAGTACGGTGGCCGGCAAAGGGTACCATGCGATTCGCATGGACATTGCCGAGCTCAACATGAAGCTGGACCGGGGCGCGAGCCCTGCGAGCCGTGCTACCCGGCAGCGCTTTCGCGACAAGCTAGAAGACGATCTGAGAAGCGTGACGAGTGATAGTCAGGTCGTAAGCGTAGCGGGCAGGACAGATGTGAATTTCGGGATCCGCAACTACTTTGATCGCCTAGAGGTCGCCACGATCCCAGCGGCTCCTCCGCCTATTGACTCGCTGTGGGTGAACATCTGTCACCTATCACATTATCATTCTCGCTTACAGGTTTCCATGCAGTCCAGAGCAGGCCGGCAGTGCTGCAGACACGGAAGAAGCTGTCGGTCACGGGTCTGCGCGCGCGCCAAAAACACTCCTAGAAGCTGTGACGTCTGGAGACCGAGCCGCCGTGGAGTATGTGCTGTCCCAGGACGCTAGCCTGAACCAGCGATCACCAGAAGGCCAGACTGTATTGCACATTTGCGTCTCGTACGACGACAGGGAAACGGCAGACATTCTCATCAAGCATGACACGAGCATCATCAACAGGAAGAACTCTCGCAGCGAGACGCCTTTCCAGTTCGCCTTGCTAGAGCAGTCCTGGAACGTAGCTGGCCTTCTCATCGAGCGGGGCTGCTCCATGGGCCAGTTCGCCACGGAATTCTTCACTTGGCTGCCGCAGCATGTGACGGATCTGGATTCCGTGCAGCCCGTCATCTGGGCTTGCGCAAAGCGACTGGGGAGCGGCATCGGCTCGACACCGCTTCTGCATCGAGCTATGGAGCGTGGTGACACACGGTCTCTCGAGATTCTACTACAGCAGGGGCTCAACCCTGATCTTCCCGAGGCGGACACAGGTACGCAGTTGATTCCTCAACTTTCACGAGCTCTTGTACCCGAAGAGTCTGTTCCAGATGATCTGTTCCAGCTGACGCACTTCTGCTTCCAGGGTTGCGGCCGATCCAGGTCGCCGTGGTGCTGGAGCAGCGGGAGCACGCCAGGCTCTTGATCGAACACGGCGCCTCGCTCAACAGGTTTATCCCGGCGACGATCGCCACGGACAAAATTCAACCACAGCACGAGCGCGAATACCACAGCCGGTGCCGCGCGCTGTTGTATGACGCCTCGCTTCTGCAGATCTCCATCCTGTTCAACAAGGACGATACACCAGCCATGATGCAGCTCCTCCTGGACAACGGGGAGGATCCGGACTCCAAGGTGGGAGGGACCGCCAACCTCCTCACGCACCTCTATCTCGAGTCCCAGTGGGTCTACGCCCAGGCCATCATACGCGCGGGCGGCGACGTCAATGGGCGTGGTCCAGACGGCTCGACGACGATGCACTGGGCGGCGCACATGAACAACGCGCCCCTCATCAAGATGCTGCGAGACTACGGCGCCGACGTCAACGCCAGGCATCCGGGCAAGGACGACTCAACACCCCTCATGCTCGCTGTGCGACACAGAGCGAGGGCGGCGGTCATGACACTGCTCGACGCAGGGGCGAATGCCAGAATGACAGACGTGTGGGGTACCACGGCACTCGGAAACGCGGAACATTTGAAGTCGGATCCAGAGTGGGCAACTACCCTGTCGGCACTGAGAAAGGCAACCATGCAGTCAGCCAAGACGAAGCCGCTCTTCGTTCTTGTCAGCGGTGAGGAACGGGAGACATCGAACCCAAAAGGATGGGGAGATGCAGTCGATGGTATTCCTTAGGCGCTGGAATGTGCCTTAGATGCATTATGCCCGCTAAGTGCAAGTATGAGTGCGATTGCATCTGCCGGCCGACAACGTGGTGGGGTAAACGGCTGCGCTAACCGAATCGAGGTCGTACCTGTAACACCTCAACCGCCAGTGACGGCCAGCTGACCTGGTGCTGTCGAGGTGTCGAATCACCAACAGCAACCTCAAAGCTATCCAGAGTAGCCATTTGCGCGCATTTGAGAGCTTTTGTCTTTTGCGATTCCGATTCTATACCTTCGCATTTCTTCTTTCTGCCTCTTCAACTCAACGTCCCGCCGGAACTCTGCCCACCCCACTGGATTCTACCGTACCTATCTATACCCCATAATCGGCCACGACACCCGGTGAAGCATACGAACAGACACAATGGATCACTCCCACATGGATCACGGCGACTCTGGCCATGGCGGTATGGACCACGGCCACGGCGGAATGGACCACGGCGACATGGGCGGCGCCCAGTGCAGCATGAACGCAAGTCACCCTCTCCCCCCTTTCACCTCTGCCTAGGCACCAGCTAACCCGTGCCGCTCTTCAGATGCTCTTCACCTGGGACACCAACAACCTCTGCATCGTCTTCCGTCAATGGCGCATCGACTCGACCTTCTCCCTCGTCCTGTCACTCCTCCTTGTCGTCGCTCTGACCGCCGGCTACGAGGCCCTCCGCGCCGCCTCCCGCCGCTACGAGACGGCCGTCAACAAGCGTGTCACGAACCTCCCCAGTACGTCTCCTCCAACCCCCCCCCCTTCTTATAGCCCCTCTATCTCCCACCCCGCCATGTCATGTCTCCCCAATCCCTCGAGTCTGAGCGCTCGGCGGCTAAAGACGTGTGTCCCGCTCGATAAAGCCACCGGTGACCGAGAACCCGATACTGAGACCACGCCCTTCCTCTGGACAGGATCGCAGCAGGTTGAGGCGAGCAAGACCGCGCACGTCGTCAAGGCCGTGCTCTACGCGCTGCAGAACTTTTACGCCTTTATGATCATGTGAGTTTGGCTCTGCTTCTTCTTTTTTTTTCTTCCGTATTTCCCTCTGCCCCCGCGCCCTCTCACTTGTAGGGGTTGTCGGAGGTGGACGGTCCGAGAATCGGGGTTTGCTGACGGCGCAGGTTGATCTTCATGACGTACAACGGCTGGGTCATGGTTGCTGTGGCGCTCGGCGCGTTCGTGGGCTACCTTCTCTTCGGCAACTCGACGTCCTCTACCAAGGACAACGCCTGCCATTAAGAGACGTTTGTTTGCATCGCTGGTCCTGTTCAAGGCAGATGGGGAGTGTGTCAAGCTGGAGTCTCATTTCATTCATCTAAAGGTTGCGGCCGCCATGGGATATCTACATCAGTATGCGACGGACACGTCGACATGACTTCAATGCAAATGCAAAGAGAAAGAAACAACAAAGCTCTACATCTTGGCCGGCTCTCCAGCTCCTTCTGCTGCTCCTGCTGCTCCTGCTGCTGTAGCCTTGGTCTCCTCCTTGAGAGCCGGGTCGGAAGTGACGTC